TGTACCATGTTGGTAAAGGATCACGTGAGATAGCATTTGTGAATGAAGATCTCCGTCTGTGAGGAGCAGTACTAGTTGCAGTCACCAGTAACCTCTCTCAATTGGCATTATGTTTGCAAGACCTTAAACCTTGCCTTTTGATCCCCTCTCCTGCTCTTTTTTCCCCCTCCTCTTTTCCTTGTTTCATTCTCCTTCCCTCTTCATCCTCCCACTCTGCTTAATGGGAAGATCTATTAAAGCAGTTATATTCTCACTAAAAAGTATAGCTGTCTATGCCCAATGTTAGAGAACATCAACAAATGTTACAAAGCTGCTGGTGAGAAACACTCTTTCCTTTCCACATTCTCTTGTGCCTCTCTAGGACCTCAAGAATCCTTGTGGCTTGGCTTTGAGTCAGCTGGAGCATATGATGGATTCTAAATTTTCTGACCTAAGTCTTTCTCACAGGCTGACAGTCACTAAATGGAATTGAGACGTCTCCCAGAATAGTATACCAAAAAGAAAAGGGAAATGGAAATGTGGTGATGGATTCAGCAGCCCTCAAGCCCCAAGTTTATCCCTCTGTAGTATCCCTGAGGTAGAGAGTAAGAGCTTTTAGCAGCTTCACATTAAAGAGCCCCCTAACATCTGTTTAGAAAGCTATGTATAGGTTTGCCACGTGAGGACTCTGGATTTAGCAAATTTTAATCTAAACTAAATTTACTCTAATCCCACTAAGAAAGGAAGTGTCTTTGGTTTAACTTTCCAGTGCATGGTGCCTCATTAGGAGTCACAGTCATGGTCTTCACAGTACCTTTACTTTTAGTAGTTTAATAAATCCAGTAATCCAAGTGGTGAATTAAAGGCAGAATATGTGACGATAGTAAGTAGAGGACAGCTACTAAAAGTGGTCCCCATACCCAGTTATTACTCATCCAACTTTCTGCAAGTCACTTCACCAGGTGCTACTCAAAGTAACCTGCTCTAAATACCTAGAAAAAAGACTTGGGTGGGGGCAAAGGGGGCCAGTAAGTGTGTCATGCCTATGCTTGTATATCTGGACTGCTTGTCTGTGATAGCTGCAAGAGAATCAAATTGTAGATAAACCTAATTGTATGGTTTTCATTGTGGTTATAAGAGCAATTGGATGTTCTTTAGCTGTGGTATTTAAGACATTTCCTATTCAGTGGTTACTTACTGGCAGTAACATGTTTAGCCATGTGCAAGTCGGGAAGAAAGGGCTGTAGGGGACTTCGTGAAAAAATAATTGCCTTTATAACTTACTTGGTGAAGGTAAACTCCAAACCGATAATGCCAATGGATGCTATGGGCAGGGAGTTTGCCAGCCCTCAGTGTAAGATCTTATGCAATTCCAGGAACGACATAATTTATTGTCTGAGAAGTCTAAAGTGCTCCTTGCCTTAGAAATTCCAGATCTACTGATGCCTCCATGTGGTGAAATCAGAATTTACCTTTTTTTTTTTTTGATGTACAGTTCCAGTAGCAGCCCACATATTTTTATGGATGGTTACACAGATGACAGTAGTATCTCTTTCCAGGGCCACTTTGTGCTCAAGCACTCTGGTGCTCCTGGGATAACTGGATCCACTTAGTCTCTCCTTCATTTAACAAATGCTTGTTTAAGATGTTCTTTGTACCCTGAGGAAAAAAGAGTTCTGCGGCCGACCCAAAGGCAAGCACCTGCTTCCCCTTGAGAGAAAAATGGGCCATCTTCTGTGTGATTTAGTTTCTGAAGACACACTAGAGGGTCAGCTGTGAGTTGGTTCTAACTTCACAGCAATGAGAGGATGTTGATGATGGTTTAATTGGTGCTGCAGACTTAGTCTATATGCTAAGATGTGGCCCACTAGTTTGACAATTTACACTAAATACTGTTGTAAAGATAAAAGTTTGAGCTTAGGGTGACTGTTTCCTGTAAATGTTTAATCTTTTAATAAATTGAAGTGGTTTGTGAAGTGCTACTGCTTGGCAACATAGCAAGGTAGATGTGAAATGAGTGGAAATTTAATCCTATCTAGTCTTAGCTTCTAAGACTTGTTCCATTTCCTATCACATATGGTTAAAAATAATCAAGATTGAGGCTCAATGTCAAGAAGACAAAGATTCTCACCACTGGACCAGTTGGCAGCATCAGGATGGATGGTGAAGAGATTGAGATTGTACACAGCTTTAGTTTGCTTGGCTCCATAGTCAACAGTCTTGGCACCAGCAGCCAGGAAATTAAAAGGCGCATTGCCATGGGAAAGTCTGCTGTTAGGGACCTCTCCAAAGTACTGAAGAGTAATGGTGTCTCTCTGGAGACTAAGGTGCGTCTGATACAGGCTTTGGTCTTCCCAATCACTTGTTATGCATCAGAGAGTTGGACAATGACCAAGGAGGATAGAAAGAGAATTGATGCCTTTGAGCTGTGGTGCTGGAGAAGAGTATTGAGAATACCATGGACTGCTAGGAAAACAAACAGATTTGTCCTGGAAAGGGTTAAACCGGGTGGCTCCTTGGAGGCAAGGATTCTGAGGCTCCGTCTAACATACTTAGGACATGTTGTGAGGAGAGACCGGTCCTTGGAGAGGGACATCATGCTTGGGAGGGTGGAGGGACGGCGCAGGAGAGGAAGGCCCTCTATGAGGTGGATTGATTCAGTGACTGGGATAATTGGGATGGGAGTGTCAGAGACGGTGCGATTGGCACAGGACAGAGCGGAGTTTAGGGCTCTTGTACATAGGGTCGCTATGAGTCGCAGGCGACTTGATGGCACATAACAACAACAACAAGCTCTTTACATGTATTACTGTACTGAATGCTCATAACTACCCTGTGAATTAGGGATTCTTGCCCTTAATTGACATTAGCAACACTCTCCGTACCAGCACTTAGGAGATCCAGAGACATAATACTTTGGATACTTCTGCTGTCAGGGACCTCTCTAAAATACAGTAATGTCATTTTGAAGACTAAGGCACCCCTGATTCAGACAATGCATTTAAGAGCTGGAAAGTGAAAAAGGATGACAGAAGAAGAATTGATGCCTTTGAGTTGTGGTGTTGGAGCTGTGAATATACCTTGGACTGCCAAAGAACAAACAGATCTGTCTTGGGAAAGGTGCAGCCATTGTGCTCCATGGAGGCAAGAATGTGAAGTTTTGTTTCTCATACTTTGGACATGTTTCTAAGAGAGGCTATTCCTTGGAAAGGAATATTATGCTTAGAAAGGTGGAGAGCCCACAAAAGAGAGAAAGACCTCCAAGGAGATGAATTGATATGGTGAATGCAGCAGTGGGCTCAAGCGTATTAGAGGTCAGATGAAGAGAAAACAAAATTCAGGTCTGTTCTAAGGTTACTAGGAGTCATACTCAGTGGCACCTAACAGCAGCCTTACTTTACACTTGAGGACCCTGAACCAAGGAAATTATAGACCTTGCTGAAGGTCGTAGAGTGGAAGAAGGATTTAAACTTTGAAAATTTGGCTCAGAGTCCTTGCTCTTAAATGAAGTACCACCACTTATGGAAAGAGGCCAACCTTCAGAGTGGTTGAGTGGCATTCCACTGACCTGTCCACCTGCCTAACCTCTTTCCTGGATTGTCTGCAGGGCAGATTGCCTAACAAAATGCTGCAGGAAAAGTCCAGGTTCTATAGCTCCAGGTGCAAATCCAGCCTGGCCTTCCATCAGCTGGGTGAGCTGGCCTCTCTGAGTTTATTTCCTCACATGTAAAATTAGGATAATATACTTAGTAATTTTTGTGTATAAAGAAATGCATATTAAATGACAATATGCTTTTATAATCATCATTTCCCTCCGACTTCAGAAAGAAATTCTAAGCGTTCAGATTCTAGGACCCAAGAAGGTGAACATTTTCCTTTGGCTTCTTTTAAATAGGATGATAATTGTATTCTGTGTATTTCTCTTGAAACTTTTGCTCAGACAAGCAGAGAGATAAAGCATTATTTGACAGATATATGAATTCAAGCAAGAAACTTAAGGTTCACTTGCAAAGAAAACCCTTTTGTAATTCAGAGCTCTGTCCAAGGAGACACAGGGGACCTAGAGGGCAGAGAATGAACACAACAAAGGGGCTAATTCCAGAGTCACATCCTTGGTTAGTTCACTTTCAAGTGTGTGTGAGGGTACCTTGTTCAATAGAGAGACATTTTCTCTGCTTCAGCAGGTATCTGCTGGCTAGGGATTTAAATGAAACTTACTTTCCTAGGATAAACTAGAATCCCTGTGTTGCCCAAAGTGAAAAGGAAAGGGAGTTCTAACTGCAGATGTGTTTAGCCCTTTCCCCTACCTGTTCTTTGCAGACCTTGCCTGAGGATTTATCATTGGTTGCTTCTCAGGGGCTTAGGGCTCACTCACTCTGCAGGCTCCAAGCCAGAGTGACGCTTTTGCCGCCGCTGCTGTCACAAGTGCCTCTACCACCAGGCACTTAAGTACTTCTAAGGATGTGAAGTGCCGTGAAACTTTCACCATTCTCTCTGCTTCCTGTCATCAGTATTATACCTATCTTGTGCTTTTGCCATACAGCCAGTGTATCCAAGAAAATCTTCAAGCACCAAAGTTAAAGCCCTTTTACTGCCTCTCCAAGGAGATGTGACTTAGCCTTGGAAAAGAAGATCATTGAGAGGCCTCCTGTGCCTGTGTGCTGCAGAAGGAAGAGTTTGCTTCTTGATAGCATGCTAGCACCCAAGCCAGTTGGGGACTCTGAGGGGCTCGTTACTGCAGAAATAGGCTGGACCTAGCCTGCCCAAGGACATCACCCCAATCCGCAGGAGCCAAAGCTGAAGACCAGACTTTCCCATTGTCCTACCCTAAACTTAAGCCTGCTTTGCCATACTTGCCCCAAGTCTGTGGCTTCAAACACCCATTTCCTTTTGCCACTGATAAAGCTCCCTCTTCTTTATAAAATGCCTCAGCTTGGGGACTGGAAAGGTTATCTGTGCCTTCCTGTCTCTTTTCCTCTCCCAGAGCTTGATGTTAATGGTTTCTATCTTTGTCTTCCCAGGGAACTGTAATGATCAATGATGAAGAGGTCATCCTTGAATACATACCGAGCCCAGATTCTTGGTACTGCAAACGGGTAAGTGCCAAGAATTCTTTTGCTTCCAAATGAAAATCTAGCTTTAAGTCCCTTCCCTGTCTCCAGGAATGCTGCCTGGTAGTTTGTGTTGTCAAGGGAAGAATAATTCTTCCTCAAAATGGACAGAAGGTCTTTACTCAGATGAACTCAAGGTCAGGGCACAATCATAACTTCTGCTTCCCATCTTCTGCCTGTGACCTACTGTGGTGACACTTTACAGAGGCACGGGATTCAGTTTTTAGAAAGATGGGCTTGGGGAAACTGATTTTGTGAGAGATATACACTATTTGGCTATTTGAGGATCTCCAGGAATACAGAGCTTAAAAGTACCATGACATTTATTTCCTTGAGCAAAGGCTGCTCTTTGGACCTTACACTGTATGTTACACGGTATGTTATTATGGTTGCCTCTCTGGTATTAGTCTTCACCTTGTAGACCTGTCAGTAATTTGACTGAAAGTTGAACCACAAAGGTGAGTTTTGTTCTGGGTTCAAAGAGTGACTAAGACCCATAGTCTCAGGTTCCATCACTTTATATAAGACCATTAAGTCTGGCCTTTTTTATGGCTTTTGCGTTTTGTTCCACACCTCTCCCCATTCTGGTCAGGATCTTTTCTTGTGTTTACTTTCAGAGTGGTCTGTTGTGGGTAGCTCATCACCACGTGAGGTATAGATAGGTAGGCACTACCAACTTCTAGTCTTGGGGTGGGGGAAATTGAAGTAAAGGGAAGATTCTTCAACTTCCTTTTCTATTAATGGCCAAAGGACAAAACTTGACACTTGATATCAGAATTATACCCAAGACTTACTTACTCTTACTTTATCTTTTCTGTGCTTGTTGGAGAGTAGAAGGATCATCCTGCATAGGCAACCTCAGACGCATATAATGTGGTTTATACATTTTGGTACATAAGGTTGAACAAAAGAACTATGTTCATACTAAAAAGTGCCTCTTGCCTTGTTTTGGACTAATGAATGTTCCTCCTTCTTTGTTGTTTACTGTTGAGTTGGAATGGGTTTCCAGAGGTAGGAAATCACACAAGATGAGATTGCCTGTCTATCCCAAGGAGAAGCTCAGGAGGTTCAAAACATGTGCATTTGGTTTGGCAGCACAGGTCCTAACTATTGGGCCATAAGAACTCTCTCCTTCCTCTTTAGCACCAGCTAAGTAACTGCTGGTTGCACTGGCTACGTATGTCTTTCTCCTCCTTCATTGTCCCTTCTTATCAATGCTTGAGACAGGATTTGATAAGTGAATTCTTCCTAGATCCAGCCAGCTTTGAATAGAGCTACCAGTTCAAGATTCGGGGTTTTCTGGTTTGTTTTTAATTTTATTTTATTCATTTTAATGAACATTTACAGAGATTTTTTTACTTCAATTCATTCAATTCATTCAATTCTCCCTGCCCAACCCCCCCACTTTCCCCAGTTTGCTCCTCTCTTTGAAAAGTAAAAGAAAAATTCTTTCTTTGGTATACAGTTCCCCACCTCCCACTGCCCCGAGTATACTCCACTATGCAATCTTAATTCTGGACTCCTGTAATAACCATAATACCCTATCATATATCACTTTTAAATTATTCTCTCCCTCATCTATTTCAATGCAGTATACATAATTTACCCAGTTTTTCTCAGTCTTACCCCAACCCTGATGTCAGTCCCATTCTACAACAGTGGTACCATGCAGTATTTGTCCTTTTGTGACTGGGATACTTCACTCAGTATAATGTCCTCCAGGGTCACCCATTTTGAATAATATTGCATGAGTTCCTTGTTTTTCAATGCAGAGTAGTATTCCATTGTGTGAATATACCCACATTTGTTTGTTGATGAGTACCTGGGTTGTTTCCAACTCCTTGCTATTGTGAATAAAGCTGCAATAAACATGGGTGTGCATATATCTGCTTGGATGTTGGTTGTGGTCTCTTTAGGGTATATTCCCAGTATTGGAATTGCTGGGTCAAATGGTATCTCTATTTGCAACTTTTTGAGAAAGCGCCACACCACTTTCCACAGTGGTTGCACCATTTTACACTTCCACCAACAGTGAATAAGGGTTCCAGTTTCTCCACAACCTCGCAAGCATTTATTACTTGCTGTTCTGTTAAATTTTGCTATTTTGACTGGGGTGAGATGATATCTCATAGTTGTTTTGTCAAGATTCGGTTTTAAGTGTGCAACAGTAAATACTTCGGGGCAATAATATCCAGTAAACCATTTGACAGTCCAGTTTTCATAGTCATGTTTATTTCCTAAAAAACCTAGTGTCCAGAGCAAAAGCATTTTTAGCTGCTCCAAACTCCTGACCTGCTGCTGAGATACTCCGCTGAGCAGCTCAGCAAATGCTGTCTGTTTAGTGAGAGGGACACCAGGCTCTTTAGACTTTAAGCTATTCTGGGGTATATTGCTTGTTTCTTTCCTTTGCGGCAAGTATTCCTGTGTTGTGTATACAGAAAGTTATAAAAATATTTTGGGCAAATTGACTTCTTTTCCATTTTCCCTTGCAGTGTAAGACCCACACTGGTGGACATAGATCTTCATGTTCATTCTGCAAAGGACCAAGGGAAGGTGAGTGGTAGAGGCTTGTGTTTTACACTGGGTAAAACAAATTGTACTTGCCTTAGTTTTTAAACTTGTGATCCCTAAATACCAAATTTATCAAAAACTTTTGTAAATATAATGTTTAACTTCGTGTGACTTGTCACAGATTTTTGTAGCTGGACTTTCAGTCCAGTGGAGGCCCTCCTTCACGGACAGCTGGAAAGCAGATGTTCTTAAAATTGTTGGAGGCCACCAGATGCTGCTGGAGAAGGAGGGGCAATCTCCTCCTGTACCAGTCAGATCCGACTTGACGGTACACACACAAAAAAATAATAATAATTAAAAAAAATTAAAAATTGTTGGAGGAAGGATCAAGACCAAACAAATGTGTGGATAGGGTTTTGTTTTTTTTTTTAAGTATTTTTTGGGGTTGTTTGTTTTTTTTTTATTCTAAGATTATTTCAGGTGTTTGGGGTTCCCCCCCTCAAAAATTTTTAATCTGTTCTAACAAAGAATAAATATTTTATGAAAACTTTAGAGCATCAAGCAGATTTAGTATTGTTGTTGTTGAATGCTGTCGAGTCGTAGACGACTCATAGCGACCCTATGAACGAACAGCCTAAGCACTGTTCGTACATAGAGTTTCCAGAGGCAAGCCATTTTGGAAGTGGATGCCGCTCCTGCTTCCAGGCTTGATTTAGTCGGGAAGCTCCAGCCAACACTGTCCACCATGGGTGCCCATTACCACAATTTAGTATAGTTAAGATAAATTTAAAAGGAGCCCTGCTGACATGTAACATGTCAGACTGCTAACCAAAACAGCAGTTTGAATCTTTCTACCAGCCACTATTGACAGTCTCCTCCTGTAAATATTTACAGCCTCAGAAACGCAAGAATCACTGAGTCAGAACCTACTCAGCAGGTTTGGAAAAACAGTTTTGACTTGGAAACATATAGAGCATTTGGACACTGTACACATACTATTGGTTATCTCTCTGTTGCTCTTAGTTCTGTCTTTATCTTGAGCCAGTGTCTTTCACAGAACTCTGAAGAAGTATTTGCAGAAATAGGTCCCTAGTTAACTGTAGAAATTACCCTGTTGAAGATTTTAAATTCATTTTGAAGGACATTTTCCATTAAAATTAAAAGCATACATCATTTTATAGTGCTTCACTTTATTTTTTGTTTGCTTATTTTTTCCTAGATTGAAAGACTTTTGCCAGGAACTGGCAGGAGACTTTATAATATCAAAAGCATTTTAATATGAGTGTTTGATGTAGGTAAGGGAAAATCTCAGCAGAGTGTAGTGTGTTGTGTATGGAGCCAATCTTTTTCTCTGTTTCTGCTTCCCTGGTTGCAGAGGCAAAGCAGGAATTAATAAGCTATCCTCAGCCTCAGAAAACATCTATATCAGCACTGTCAGAAAAACTGTACAGCCAGTCCCATAGGTCAACTGATAAAGAGTCTGACTCCAAGAAACGAGAAGAAGGACAAGAACGCTTGGGGCACCAAAAGAGAGATGGAGATCGATATTCGTCTTCTCGAAGGGAAGGATCTACCTTCCGAAGAGACAGAGAGAAAGACTCATGGTCAGGGGACTCACGCCATGATGGAGAGAGCAAAAGTAAGTGGTTATTCAGAGTATAGTTTGAGCCTTAACAACCTATGTTGTGGCTCTAGGTCAGCTGCTTCACTACCCTGTGCTAGTACTAAAGTCAGCCTTGTACAACCTCTGTCTTCTGAATAGCAGCAAGTTGATGTACATTTCTACATACTGATAATGAAAAGGAAAGTGTTACATATTTGACTAGGTTTTTATAGAATCAGTCTTGCTAGCACAAAGTTTCTTGGCAGCTACTGAAAATGAAATAACAAAAATGCCAATTAAATCTTAGGACTTCAAAAATTCACCTTTCTCTCTCTTTGCTCCTCTCCCATTTATGCCTTCTTGGTTTCTTTGGTTTTTGTTTTGATGTTTGTTTTCTTTTTTTTGGATCAGCAATCATGTTAAAGCGCATCTATCGTTCGACCCCACCTGAGGTGATAGTGGAAGTGCTGGAGCCCTATGTCCACCTTACTACTGCCAATGTCCGAATTATTAAGAACAGAACTGGCCCCATGGGCCACACCTATGGCTTTATTGACCTTGACTCCCATGCGGTGAGTTTCCTCCTCTGGATGATCTAGTGAAGGGTGGCTATAGAAGCTTTAAGGGATTTCTTTTTTTTTTGTCTTGTGTCATTTACAATTTCTATTTAAAAGAAAATAAAAACTTAAGTATAAAGAATCTGAGTGCTAAAATCTCTTAAGCAAACAAATAATAGTGAATTTTCTCATTTCCTTGGCTTATTTATCCCAGCCAAGTGATAGCAAGATATTGATGTGTTTTTTTTCTCCTCCTCAAAGTATTGTTTCTATAGATTCTAAGGCTTCAATTTTTAGTTATGGTTTACTTTTCTCTGAAAATACTCATGAAATTTATGTTTGTTTTGTTGTTGTTATGTGCCGTCGAGTCGTTTGCGACTCATAGCGACCCTGTGTACAACAGCCCTAAATCCTGCTCTATCCTGTGCCAATCGCATTGCCTCTGACACACCCATCCCGATTACCCCAGTCACTGAATCAGTCCACCTCATAGAGGGATGTAGATCATAACAAATTATGGGTAACTGAGAAAAATGGGAATTCCAAAACATTTTGATGTGATCATGTGAAGCCTGTTATAAACCATGAAGCTATAGTTCCAAAAGAACAAAGGTATAGTGCATACTTTTAAATTAGGATATGTATGTGTTAGAGTTGTATCCTTTCTCAGTACAGTCTATTTGCTGAGCAAATAATTCAGGAAGGTAGACTGTATGAAGGGAGCCACAAAAGTTAAGAGAGAAACCAGGGAGCTCTGGTGGCCTAGTGGCAAGAAGCTGTGCTGCGATCCCGAAAGCACATCGTTCGAATCCACCAGATGCTCCACTGGAGAAGGAGGGGCAATCTTCTTCTGTGCCAGTCGGATCCAACTCGACAGTACACAAAGGGGAGGGAAGTAAATTGTCAGTGAAAGAGAGAGAAAGACCCTCAGTGGGGTGAATTGACATAGTGATTACAACAATGGACATGAATATGGTGGGTGGTAAGAAAATGGTGCCGGATTGGGCAAAGTTTTGATCTGTTCATGTGGTGGCTGTGAGTTGTGGTCATCCATCCATGGCTCCTAACATTTTGGCATATATTTTGCAATTGTAAGTATGCCCTTAACTATTAAAATACTAGGTAAGTCATTTTAATGAGTTGTTAGAAATTGAGAAACCTACACCAAATTCTCTTCTAAGGATACAGCCTTTTTTCCTCTTTGGGTTCAAGTATTTCTTTGATTCCTCAGGAAGCTCTTCGAGTAGTGAAGATTTTGCAAAATCTTGATCCACCATTTAGCATTGATGGGAAGATGGTAGCTGTAAACCTGGCCACTGGAAAACGAAGGTAAGGCAGAGGGGACAAGCTCCCTTATGCTGCTGTCTCTTGAGTATTTGGGGGAAAAGCTCCCAATCCTGCCTGGAGAGACGGAGATAAGAGGACCTGGTACCTTCACACAGTGAAATTCTTCAGCTTTGTGAGAATAAATTTCCTTTGTCTGTAGGTTGCTTTGGTCTGGTTGTATATTTGCTTGGTTTCTTAAAATAATAGTGTAACTACTTGACTACCTGATATCTTTGGACCCCTAAATGAGAATACAGTCTTAGAGAAACAGAAAAAATTCTCGATATATATTTGCCCTTGGGAATCCTAAGAAAATTATGTCCTGCAGTCCTGCTCCCTTTGACCTTGTTCATTTCCTTTTGTTCTGGGAAATGGAATTCTTTACTCTGCACTCATGGTTCCAGGACTGGTACCTGGGACATCAAGAGGGGCCAGATGGCTTACAAGGATGAGACAGACCTTGCTGTGTCAGCTTCCACTCATTCTCCTGTAGCTCTGACAGTGACTTTGTAGGAGTCTCATTGTTCTTCACAGGAGAAGGCCTAATCCCTATTTCTTGATATCTGAGTTCGTTTCTTTTTCTGTAAAATACAGAAAAGAAAGTTACTCAGTTAATCCTTAAGTGTCTTTCTGTTGTGTTGTTTGTTACAGGAATGACTCTGGGGACCATTCTGACCACATGCACTACTATCAGGTAAGCTTTAGTAATTTGATAAAATATTAAGAAGTTACCTTAAATTCCTAACTCTAACGTTAAGGCTGTTGGTTAGTTGACTTTTATTCCTTGCTCCATAATTGGCTTTGAGTTCCATAACTTTAACTTGCCTCTCTCTGATAGGGTAAAAAATATTTCCGAGATAGAAGAGGAAGTAGCCGAAATTCAGACTGGTCTTCAGATACAGGTCGACAAGGACAGCAGTGTAAGTGACCTTTGTTTTAGGTTTTATTTCTTTTCTTTTTTTTTTCCTTGACTTACTTTCACTATTTGACATTTATGTGGTAATAAAATTGGTAAGAGATGCTATTTACTAGAGATACTCATCTACCATCTGTGGGTTCTATCAACCTTGTTCTTGGGTTGTTCCTAGTAAGTACCCCAGTAAGAATTTCACTAGACAGGGACTAACATTACCGTTGCTTTTATTCTCACTAGCATCATCTGACTGCTACATATACGATTCTGCTACTGGCTACTATTATGACCCCTTGGCAGGAACTTACTATGACCCCGATACCCAGGTGAGTTTTGGGCTTTGTGAATTTTGTCAATGATACATATCCATAATTTGTTATTCAACAGATTATTTTTTTCATCCCTCTGGGATTCTCTGAATTCTCATTGTGTCAAAACTGAGAAAAGTTTAATTTCTAGAAACTGAATACTCCATTCCAGGTAGCTGTTCTGTTGCACTGTCTTCTAGTGTGGTATTTTTAAAAAGATAGCTCTTGTGAGTTTTGTTTATTCAAATGGATATTGAATTTGATGACTTTGTTAACTGTAGCCTATATAGAAAGAAAATCAGTAATCGATATGTTGTAGCATTACAGGTAAGCACAGTGTTGCTCCTAAAAACATGAGCTTTGGGTGGTCATATATGTCTTTGATATCCTGTAGTGAGATTTTAGATTTCTCTGCTTTAGGCTTCTAAGTCAGACAGTAGGGTTTTTTCCCTCAGAAGACAACTCTGTTCCTTAAACCAGAAATTGCTAAGAATGTGCAACATTTGTAGACTTACTTGTTTCTGTCTATATCACAGCAAGAAGTCTATGTGCCCCAGGATCCTGAGTCACCTGATGAAGAAGAAGAGATCAAGGAAAAGAAATCTAGCAAGGAAGGAAAATCAAGTAGTAGGAAAGAATCATCTAAAAGGGATGGCAAGGAGAGAAAAGACAGAGGCCTAACAAAGGTAAAGGAATGTGTGAGTCTGCTGTCTTTTTACAAGAATAAAATAAAGATGTCATGGACCAAAGAGCACTCTGGTGACACAGTGCAGGCATCCTTGTCCCTGACAGTCTCGTGGTCACTTACTTCATTTTAAAGATGTGAGAACTATGGACAGTAGAATAAAGTGACTCAGCTTAATCCCAACACCTCAGCACATACATTGTCAAACTTTTCTGTGTCTCCTTTTCAAGGCTTGACTCTGTATACACATTTCCATAGGTCTAATCATAGCAGGGACATTTCTTTTCGGTGATTCATTCCTGTTGTATTTTATAGGGGTTTTTTTTTCAGACTTTAGTAATTTTCTGTATTAAGTTCTAGTTTTACTACTTGTAGTATTAAAATTCCCAGTAGATCTCTGCCACTCTTTTTTTTTCTCCTTAATTATTCCTGAATTATGTCTCCTCTGTTTTCTTAAGTTGTCATAAATTAGCTCTTAACATCATTTTCTCTATGCACAACTCTTGATACACGATTAAATTATTTTTCAAAGGGTTATACTAATTTTTCTTGACAGTAGTTTTGCATTAGTGAAATGGATAATTTGCTTTTAGGTCCATTTATAACATATCTCTCCTCTTCTTCCCATCCCCACCTTGTCAATAATACTGCTGGTGTATGAGTATTTTGAGAGAGAGACTAAAGGCTTTAGAGTCTACAGGCTTAGTACATAGATTCCAGTTCTGCCATTTAATCTTCCTCGCTTTACTCCTATTTTTTATAAAACGAGACTGTCAATGACTATCTGGAAATACTATATAAGAAAGGCGAAGAACTGGGGATGAGGGTGGAGAAAACATTGCAACAATGAATGAATGAAAACCCAAAATCTCTGTAAATGTTCATTAAAACTAATAAAATTTAATTTAAAAAAAAAAGAAGAAAGGAGATAAACACAAAAATGTGCCATAAAGTGTCCAAGATCCTAAAAAAAAAAAGAAAGGCGAAGAAGATAATGCACGTGAATACCTCATTTGGTGATACATAGTTATCACTTAATATACAATAAATAATAGATTTTTTAAAAGATTCTTTTTAACCCATTCATTCATGCATATTTTTCTTCTCTTCTCCTCTCCAGATCACTTTGCAATGCACCTCTTGTTCCAGATTATTGTCATAAAAGGTTTTGCTGGGGTTTTTTTGTTTGTTTTTTAAATTTATTTTATTATTTTGTGTGTGTGTGTAACATCAAATTGGATCTTACTGGTACAGGAGGAGATTGTCCCTCCTCCTCCAGCAGAGCATCAGGTGGATTCGAACCATGCACCTCTGGGATTGCAGTGCAGCTTCTTGGCACTAGGCCACCAGAGCTCCCTAATAAAAGTTTTCATTTTTAAATCACTTTAGCAATATCACACATGTTTTATAAACTATGAAGTTCAGAAAAATCTACCTTGTTTCAAAAAGATTAACTTTTAACCCACTTTTTCTGAGTATCATGCAATAACCTCTGGCTTTGATTAGTTTCAGGACAATGCAAGTGAAGGGAAGGCTCCCCCAGAGGATGTCTTTAAGAAACCCTTGCCTCCCGTTGTGAAGAAGGAAGAGAGTCCTCCTCCAGTAAGACTCCTAATGACTGGGGCTGGGGCTGGGTCAGGGTGGGAAAGGAAGCTTAAAGGCTACACCCCCCCTAGCTTGGTCTTTTTGCTCTTTCAAGAACACTTCCTGAGTATAAGCTTGAGGTAAACAGACATTCCTGAGATATTGCTGCATGATGATGATGATGATGATGTTGTTGTTGATGATTACCTTCCAGCGACCCTATGGACAGAAGGCCTGAAGCTCCTCTACAGTATTGACATTTATCAAAGTTCATAGAGTTTCCGGAGGAATGTTATTTAGGAAGTGGATACTACTACAGGGAATTATCTGTCTCTTAGCTTCATCATTCCCATCAGACCAGGAGATGATTGACCTTACTAAGTTTTAATTTTGTTCTTGTTTTTTCTCTAAATGACCAAAGAAACCAGTTTTCCTGTTGCTGATGTTCCCTGCCTTTGATGCTACATGAATATTCATTTGTGTAGTTGGCTTGCCTGCAGAGTGAATGACATTAATGTTGACACCCATTGTTTATTTCATTATTTTTTGTGTGTACCATCAAATCAGATCTGACTGGTACAGGAGGAGATTATTCCTCCTTCTCCAGCAGAGCATCTGGTGGATTCGAACTGTGCATCTCTGAGATTGCAGTTACAGCTTCTTGCCACTAGGCCACCAGAGCTCGCCCTGACACCCATTGTTTAGATCCCTTGAATGGTTATGTCCGCCTAATCAAAAGAACTTCTGATTGAATACATATATGTAACAACAATGACCATGCTTTATTTATTTTATTTTGACTGTTCATAGAACAGTGAACATGGATCATGATTGAATAAGTTACTGGTAAATAATTTGCATACTTTGTAGTAGTAACATTGATTCTGGACATGCCCTGTTGGTCTGTCTATCTGAGTATTCATGCGTCAATTGCTTTTAATCTCAGTTCTTAAATCCCCTTTGAGGTTACCATACTGAGGTTACAATGGCTTTCAACAGTATAATCATCATAGCTTTCTTTCCATAGATTATAGTTACTTTTTTATTACCTCATCCTCTGTGTATAACTTGTAATTCTGTAGCTCTTTTTCTTTGCAGATTCCTTTCTCCTTACCATTCTGTTGCTAGGGTCACGCCCAAAGGAAGCTCTCTGATTTACCTCAGTGAGCAAGGATTAAGGCCACACTTCAGTATTGTTGGTTCCATCTAACAGTGTGGTCACTAGGCCCATGTTGAGCTCAGCAATCATTATTCCAACTGAAAGAGCAGAAACAAATTAACTGTTCATATATCAGAATTTCAGAAAATGGGCCCCAGAATACTGTTTGAATTGGTGTTAATCCCTGGACTCTTCCTTCCAGCCTAAAGTGGTAAACCCACTAATCGGTCTCCTTGGTGAATATGGAGGAGACAGTGACTACGAGGAGGAGGAGGAAGAGGAGCAGGCTCCTCCCCCACCACCTCGCACAGTGCAGGCCCAGCCGAGGGAAGAGCCCGTCAAAAAGGAGAATGAAGAAGACAAACTCACTGACTGGAATAAACTGGCTTGCCTTCTTTGCAGAAGGCAGTTTCCCAATAAGGAAGTGCTCATCAAACACCAGCAGCTTTCAGACCTGCACAAGGTACTAAGGGGAAGTTCTCTGACCCTTCATGTTTTTGAAACTTACCTATGATTAATTAGTATTGTAGGAACTAAAACTTACATCACTTTACCCCAGCCTACATCAGCCCCAGTATTATAATAATTATAGCTCCAGTCTATAATTAAAATCACTCCAGTTGAAGAGTAAAATGTTCCTCCGTAATTTCCCCCCCCCCCATGAGTTAAGGCTTTGCCTGACTTCAGAATTTTAGTGTGTAACTCAAATCAGGCAACACCAGCTGTGGTTAGAACACCAATTATGGTTGCAAGGGAAAGGAAATAATGGAGTAGAAATCTCACAAGCTTGTTACCGTCATTCTTCCATTTACCAGAGCGTTTGACTTCACATAGTTCTTTGTTACTCATCCAGTTCTGACAATGTTTCATTCTCCCCAAAGGTGGATCACATTCTGTCCTCTCTACATGTATTGAGTTACATGATGCTACAGCTAGTCTTATTGTCATTTTGATCAATTTGATACGCCATAACTCTCCTCTGCATTCCTCCCACACATTTGTCGTAACCAAAGAGCCAAAGTATACACAGATAAAGCAAGCTCCTAGATAGATCCATAGTTCTCATATAAGTTGTGTCACCCATACCTTAGTAATACTGTAAGAGCAAGTGAAGGCTCATATTTAGACCTTCAACAGAGAACCAAAGGCTTCTCTAATTGAAAACTCAGAAGCTTTGGGTGATACTGCACACCTCTTTTCCCAACTTCTTCTGAGAGGGATCTGCAAATCTTCTAGGATTGCCTTCTGACAGTTCCTGGCACAGACTAGTTGCCAAAGCCCTTTGACCTTTTATGATTCTGAGTCATCATGCTGATGTTTGAATTTCCACTCTCTGGCAAAAAATGCCAATAAATAATTAAAAATATATAGTGAGAATTTATATATGTATAGTTATGTGTGTATGTGTGTATATACACACACACCTAAATACACATACATATATAATGCTATGTATTTTTTAAGTTATTAGCCCTTTTTGTTGGTTGGAGCCTGGGAGCCATACTGTATGTGACAAGTTAACCTTAGAACCTAGGCTTCCATAGGTGAGCACAAAGCAAGACCAGTTAGGGATTGTTGCTAACAGGGTCCAGTGATTATTTAGAAGGTTAGTCAATAAAAAGAGTTGTGTACACAATTGTCAGGAAAAGCCTAGAAGCATATCTCAGACCCGTTTTTTTTCCCTTGATCTGTGCTTATAAACCCCTTCTCTTCACAGCAAAACCTGGAAATCCACCGGAAAATTAAGCAGTCTGAACAAGAGTTGGCCTATCTGGAGAGGCGAGAACGGGAGGTAAACTTTGATAGCATGTTCTTCCCTTGGCCCCAACATCTTTTTTTTTCCCATGGTGTAAAGTTTGTAAGCAGTACTGACCCTTTTTTACAGGAAAACAGAGAATCAAAGGAGCCCCAAAGGTTGTGTTCATTGTTCAAAACTCACCAAGCAAATAAGTAAACTCATTGAGCCATACATTAAAATACTCTCACGCTCCCTGCTCAGTCAGATCTGACTTGTAGTGACTCCATTGGGTTTCCCTGACTGTACATTTTACCAGGAGAATGCCTGTCTTCCTCCCACAGAGTCACTAGAGGATTTGAACTACGTGTCCCCTTAAGAAATGCCTTAAAATTGGGGCACTTTATTGTTAATAAAGTATACCCTCAATAAAATTAATGTTAAAAAAAGAGGGCAACATTTTCTAAGTAGGCCCAATATGTAGCATTCTTCTTCCTCAGCTTGAGCCAACTGAGAAGTGGGAGGATATAAGTAAAATAAGCCACTAAAATAACATCTGTCACTGTTGGAGGAAGTAACTGAGTGTGAGAGCCACTGAATTAGCTTCCTAGACCACACAATTAAGTGAATGCATCTGCTGCCTGGTCATGACCTAGGGCATGTCTTCTGTAATGGTGTAGAGTATGTAGACGCTTATTGGAGAGTACCTGCTCCACACAAGGAAAAGAGCTGAATGAAGTATGCCAGCTTTTCCCTCTCAAAACAGTAAAGAAATCATTGCTTTCTAAAGAACAGTGTGTGAAGGGGCAAAAAATTGTGTTTTCACATAAAATAAATATCAGGAATATGATAAAGGCCTCCTCATCCTTCTCTCTTGTCCCAAGAAAGCTCAGGTCTTCTTCTCTGCTTACCAACAGGGCAGATTTAAGGAAAGAGGAAATGATCGCAGGGAAAAACTCCAGTCTTTGGATTCTCCAGAACGAAAAAGGATCAAATACACCAGGGAAACGGACAGGTAAGCCAGGAACCTTTCACCCAGTGGTAAGGTTGTCTCCTGCTCCAGCTGTATGACTGATTTCTTCTTGGAGGAGTGAGATTATCAGAAATGGGTTGTCACAACTCTTTGAGCATGGAGTCAGTGCCATAGTAAAAAATCCTTTCTCTCCTCATGATTAATTCTGTGTCCTCCTATAGGGCTGACAAAATTGTGAAGTTCTTGAGACTTTTCTCTGATACACTTTTGCTGTCAGAAACAGGCCACAAATCAGTAAGTGGTATTGATCTAGATATATGATCTTGAGCTTTCTATAATTATTTCCACTCATCTCCCAGATTTGAGACCAGAGATAAATGGAATCTGTTGGTAACACACTATCTATCTATCTATCTATATGCAGGTACTGTACTTAATGCAAGGAATGCTCTGGTGAACAATTATTAGTAGATCATCCTTGACTGAGTACAAAATAGGGAAGGTATGGGTGGTGATACGCTGTCTCATAGGACAAATACAGAAATCTAGGAAGAAAGAGTACAATGTTAAAGGCAGCAGGTGTTATGTACCGTCAAGTTGAAACCGACCCATAGCTGATCTCCACTGGGTTTTCAGAGGCTGCAAATTACACTGGAGAAGATTGCCCATCTTTCTCCCACAGAGAAGCTGGTGAATCTGAACCACATGCCTTTGGGTTGGCAACACTGATCCTTACCACTAGGGTACCAGATCTCCCTAAAGGCAGTGATAAATCATAGAATGATTTTAAGCAAGTTGTAACAGTCGTAGCTCTGCATTTTTGAAAGGTGGGAAAACATGTGAAGTACAGGTTTGTAGAGAAATTAATGAGACCGCTTTGGTTGTGATTATCTAAAGGAAGGTTGTGAATATAAAAAAGAAAGTGGTTTAGAGGTAGGTATCAAATCCACCAGGCTTGGTGATCAGTTTGTTGTGTGGGAGAAGAGAGAAATCACTCATTGATGGTGGCCAAGTTTCTTTTGAGTTATCAGGAAGATGATAACAGATGGTTTTTAATGTTGTTAGGTGCCATCGAGTTGAGTATGACCCATAGAGACTCTATGAACAACAGATCTGAACCCTGTCTTATCCTGTACCATCCTCACACCTTCTGACACGCTTGAGCCCATTGAATTAGTCACCATATCAGTCCATCTAGTTGAAAATCTTCCTCTCTTTTGCTTGCCCTCCACCTTTCCAATTATGATGTTCCTTTCCAAGGAATAGCCTCTTATAGCAAGACTTAAAAGGAGAAATGGAAGATAATAGGCTGCAAGAGCATAAAGTGTGGTCATTTACAATGACAGCACTTGAGCTGTCAAATATATGTTGATGAGCAGAAGAAACAGTAATCAGAGGGGTTTGTACCTGTGGGGAAGCAGATATGACTGAAGAGGAAGGCCCCTGGGGGAGCTTGACAGGGTTACAACACTGGTATTCTAACTCATCTATTAACAGCTTACTAAAACAACTTTTTTTTTTGGTCTTGATTCACTGATTCCATATTTTGGGTATTTGAAAGTCTTCATGAAATAATACATCCTTATTATTAGAGTCCATTGAACTCTATTATTCTCTTTTTTAAAAAAAAAATTATTCTTTTTTGTGTATGTACCGTCAAATCGAATTTGACTGGTACAAGAAGAGATTGCCCATCCTTCTCCAGCAGAGAATCTGGTGGATTTGAACCATGTACCCCTGGAATTGCAGTGCAGTTTCTTGCCTCTAGGCCCCCAGAGCTCCCCTCCTATTATTCTCATTTTTAAGAAGTACCAGAGTTAGGCTACCAAGCTGATGTAACATTCCATTGCGTCATTATTTGTAATTTGACATGCACTATACTAGAACATACCTGTGTTTGTTATGTTCTAGTCTTGGACAAACATGTCTTGGAGAAAGTACAGACAGAGTGCTTCTTGACGGCAAAGATGATAAAACTTCATCTCATTTACTCTGGGCTTGTTGCTAGGAGAGGTAATTCCTTGGAGCGAGAAATCGTGCTTGGGAAGGTGGAGGGACAACGAAGGAGAGAGGGAGACCCTCAGCAAGGTGAATTGATACAGTAACTGCAGCAATGGGCTCAAGTGTGTCAGAGATGGTGAGCATGGCACAGGACAGGACAGGATAGGATAGGATAGGATAGGATAGGATAGGATAGGATCTGATCTGTTGTTCATAGGATCACTGTGAGTTGTACTCGACTCAACAGCACCTAACAAAAACAACATACTATAATAAAGATGAAAGGTCAGTCCCAGACAGGAGGAGAGAGACTACCCTAGTCTTGAATCAGTTGAGAATGAGGCTTCTTCACATTCTCCTTTCTTGCTTGTCTTTCTTTTCTGAATGAGTCCAGGTGCTCTGTAAGACTTCACTGCTCCTTTATTCTAACAGCTGTCTAAGCCCCATTATCAACATGCTACCTAATCCTGTGGTTCCATCTTTATCCCAAACCAAGTATGTGTTTTCTGAACTATAAATCTACATTGCCATTTGCCTTCTGAGAATCTCCTCTTGGAATCTGTACCTGCTCAATGTCTTGGGTTTCTGTTTTAGATTACTAACAACATAATGTTACTGTACTTCCTTACTTTTTCCTTGCCTGTGTCCCCCTTTCCTCCCACTCTTTTTCCTGCTCAGTAAACTCCAATTTAAATGTACCCCTTTTGTTGGAATTCCTTTGTCTTTGGTGACTCCATGGTTTGTAATCCCATAGCAGATAGCCCCTGTTCTCACACTTCAGAGTGAACTCTGTCTGCTGTGAGCATCTGTTCACATCCTCCTCATTAATGTCTCCACAGACGAGACTAAGCGTTCAGAAGTATTGCTTAATACACCTTTTTAAGAAGCACATCAGAGCAGAAATTTGTATCTGGTTCACAAGCAGGTGACTAAATACATCTGCTTCTTTTGCAGTGACCGTAAACCTTTGGGTAAAGAAAGTATCGACAATAGCAGCAAAGGAGGCTATGGCCAGCAGGCTACTGGCTGGAAGAAGGGTACAGGTTTGGGATATGGCCAGCCTGGCTTAACTTCGGAAGAGGTGAAATTATTTCCCTTTTGTTTTGGGGTGGCATGGGCCTAGAATACTACTCATGTCTTCTAGCTGAACTTTCTCCACTGCTGATATAGGACATGGGCATTCAGGAACCTGTCTGTCTTTATTACTCTGTTACAGCTAAGCATGCCGGCCCCTGTATTGTAGTTTGGTTGACTGTGGTGATGGGAGGGAGAAATTGGATTGGGGATCATCTTAACTCTTAGAGAATAAGCAGTGAGCAGTGTGGGATTCAAGCAGACTGATAACTGAAGAATTATTTGGTAGAAAAGACCTGGAAACCAGCAACAAAGAGTACATTGGCATCTCTGAGAGGGTATCAGTAGAGATCTTTGACAGCTAAAATTTGAAGAGCATAAAGTTATTCTGAAAAATAATTGACATTTACATCAAAAACTCAAGTTTACTGCCACTGACTTGGTTCCCACTCATAGTGACCTTCCATCGGGTTTTTTAAACGATAAGAGAAAGAATTCTTTCTCCCAGGTTGCTGCTGGTGGAGTCTAACGGCCACACACACTTGGTCATTGGTTTAGCAGCACAGATCACTACAGGCTTCACCACCAGAGCTCCCTGAGTTTACTTGAAAGACCCCTCATGTTTCAAAATGAACCTCCTATTTAGAGGAAGAGATAAGAGAAGATTGGTTACTATGTTTCCTATATGGACTTTCTCATATCTCTGGTATTGAGTCCTATTCTTGTGGTCATGGTGTCACTATTGTCCTTATTCCTGAGGGGTTTTTTTAATAATTAAGAACTAAAAAACACACATATATCCTGGTTTTTATTGGTGCAGAGAAATACTTGTAACCAAAGACTAGCTTTGCAGCTAAGTAAGCAATAGGGCCCACTTCACTGTCTTTATTTTCAGACTGAAGGCCGCATGAAGGGACCCGGAGTGGGAGCCCCAGGAAGGACTAGCAAGAGACAGTCTAACGAAACTTACCGAGATGCAGTTCGAAGAGTCATGTTTGCTCGGTATAAAGAACTCGATTAAAGAATGGAGACGAGTCCCACAAGATACAACCTCTTTCCTGTGTTGTTTGTTTGTCTCCTTTTGTTTTGTTACTGTTCTTGCTGCTAGAACTTTTTTAAATAAACTTTTTTTCAATGTGATGATGTTGGGTTTTTTCACTCCCAAAATGGGTGAGAAGGTGGACCTAATTATGGGAGAGGGAGTACCCTGAAGTTGGCTCATTTGGGGTGATGCTGAAAAAACAGCAAAAGCGCTCCTGTTAGTGTGAATGATTGGATTGCAGTGACCTTTAAACCCTAACTTTGCTTAAATATCTGAAGGGACCTCGGTGCTTCATAGTGTAATAATCAGGACAAGTCAGCCTGGTAGGTATTGCCATTCTCTTCTTGCTATTGCCCAAGTTCCTCCTTCCTCCATACCGAAAATTGTCTAAAGTGATGTTTGCCCTCTTTCTCTATTTCCCCACCACCATCACTCTTAGCATTTCACAGAATTCACATCAAAAGAATGAGGGAGGGGAGCTCTGGTGGCCTAGTGGCAAGGAGCTGCAACTACAATCCCACAGGCACATGGTTCGAATGCACCAGATGCTCTGCCAGGAAAAGGAGGAACAATCTCCTCCTGTACCAGTCAGATCTGATTTGACGGTACACTCACAAAAAAAAAAAAAGGATGAGGGAGAGAACAGTTTAAAAGCAATATTACAGGGCATTATGAGAGTCCAGAATGAAGGTTGCAAAGTGGAGTATACTCGGCATGGGGGGTGGGGGGATTGTATAGCAATGAAGGAATTTTTATTGTACTTTTCAAAGAGAAGAGCAAACTGGAGGGGGGTGGGGGGCAGAAAAGTACAACAATGAATGAATGGAAATCCAAAATCTCTAAATGTTCATTGAAATTAATAACAATAATAAAAAAGTAAGGTGTTTTAAAACAAATTTGCTATTAAAAAGACTATATTCTGTAAACCTATTATAGGTACCCCTTCCCCCAATAATTCCTCAATAGTTAAAAACTATATACATTTATACATTAGTAGAAACTATACTTTGCAGATGCCTCAAGAAAAACCTTTCTCACAAAGAGAATCTTGATGGTGTAAACTTCTCTGTAAAGGGCTAAGCTTCTATGGACTTAATGATCTGTCATTAAGTAAGTGTGGGTTGAGCAGTAAAACTTTATTTGCAAAAGCAGGTTTCATTTAATCGTCATTTGTCAACCTCTGGTCTAAGGGGGTTGCCTTCATGCATAAGGCAGGATCAAAGATTGAATTGTACTTTAAAAGAACGGGATCTTCTGACATATTTTGGGGGCAAAATGGGAGGTTAGCAGTACACCAAATGGTGAGATACTTCTAGTGACAAGAATGACAAATGCAGGTTAAATACTGTTGAACTGCCTTTGGCTATTCGGTCTAGTGGGTTCTGGATTCTTGACTTTTTTTTTTTTAGAAGACATTTCATTTAGAAATCTAATACATGAAACTAAAAAAAAATTGGCTAAAATTCTCAGATCAGTGATTTAATTCTTTACTAAATGTACAGGGACTCCAATTTTCACATTCCGTTTTTCTGCCTGATTTTGTTTACTTTCGTTGGAGGTTTTTTCCTTTGTTTTCTTCTTATTATTAATTTTAATGAAAGTTTATAGAGACTTTGGATTTTCATTCATTCATTGTTGCACTTTTCTCCCTGCTCAACTTCCCCCGGTCCCCAGTTTGCTCTTCTCTTTAAAACGTAAAAGAAAAATTCTTCTATTGTTATACAATCCCTCTCCCCATGTCCACTCCACTATGCAGCCTTTTTTCTGGACTCCTGTCATGACAATAATACCTAATCATATATAGCCCTTTTAAACTGTTCTCTCTCTCTCTCTCTCTCATCTGTTTCAATGCAGTATATATAATTTAGCCCATCTTTCTCAGTCTCTCCCCAACCCCAATGTCAGTCCCGTTTTACAACAGTGTCACTATGCAGTATTTGTCCTTTTGTGACTGAGATATTTCACTCAGCATAATGTCCTCCAGAGTCACCCATTTTGTATAATATTTCATGAGTTCTTTGTGTGAATATTCCACAGCTTCTCTATCCATTGTTGAAGGGCACTTAATGTTCTTTCCAACTCTTTGCTGTTGTGAACAAAGCCACAATAAACATGGGTGTGGACATCTATTTTGACTTAATATTTGAATGCCTCCTGGGGAATCCCAGAACATTTAATCGTGCTAATGTGAAACCTATACTTGGACCAAGAGGCAGTCATCAGAACAGAGCAGGGCAACACTGCATGGTTCAAAATTGGGAAGGGTGTACGCCAGGGATGTGTCCTGTCTCCATACCTTTTCAACCTGTATGCAGAGCAGATTATCCGAGAGGCTGGGCTCTATGAGGAGAAGCGTGGCGTTATTATTAGTGGACGATCTATCAACAATCTGCATTATACAGATGACACAACCCTGCTCGCTGAAACTGAGGAGGATCTCATGCACTTACTACAGAGGGTCAAGGACTGCAGCCTTCAATATGGACTGAGGCTCAATGTCAAGAAGACAAAAATTCTCACCACTGGACCAATCGGTAGCATCAGGATGGATGGTGAAGAGATTGAGATTGTTCACAGCTTCAGTTTGCTCGGCTCCACAGTCAACACTCTTGGCACCAGCAGTCAGGAAATCAAAAAACGTATTGCGATGGAAAAGTCTGCAGTTAGGGACCTCTCTAAAGTACTCAAGAGCAACGGTGTCTCTCTGGAGACTAAGGTGCGCCTGATACAGGCCATGGTTTTTGCAATCACTTGTTATGCATCAGAGAGTTGGACAATGACTAGGGAGGATAGAAGGAGAATTGACGCCTTTGAGCTGTGGTGCTGGGGAAGAGTACTGAATGTACCATGGACTGCCAGGAAAACAAATAGATTCATCGTAGAGAGGGTTAAACCAGGCTGCTCCTTGGAGGCAAGGATCCTGAGGCTTCATCTGACATACTTTGGACATGTTGTAAGGAGAGACAGGTCTTTGGAGAGGGACATCATGCTGGGCAGAGTGGAGGGACAGCGAGGAGGGGAAGACCCTCTATGAGGTGGATTGATTCAGTGACTGGGGTAATCAGGATGGGTGTGTCGGAGGCAATGAGATTGGCACAGGATAGAGCAGGGTTTAGGGCTGTTGTACAGAGGGTCGCTATGAGTCGCAAATGACTCGATGGCACATAACAACAACCACCTGTGGTTAGATACATGAACTTTTTCAGATTGTTAAAACTGTATGTATATATTTCCAAGTTGTTCATGTTTATGGGTAAATAAAAATACCCTCATTGCCATCAAACCAAAACCACCTCATAGCTAACCCTCCATTGGGCTTCTGAGGCTGTAAATCTGGAGAAAATTGCCTATCTTTTCTCCTATGGCACCAATGATGGATTCAAACTGCCTTTGGGTTTGCAGCATGACTCCTACAGACTAGAGCACCCTATAGATCCATGATAGTGTTAGGTGCTATTGTGTCAACTAGTATTTACAGCAACCCATGTGAACAACATGAGAATTTTGCTCTATCCTGCGCCTATCTCATGGTCTCCAGCATGATTGAGTCCATTGTTACAGTTACTGTGTCAAGCCATCACTTAGAACTCTTTCCACATATTATAACAGATAAGAAAGTAGAAATTGATATAGATGGAAAGGGAGGAGGAAGAAAGTGTGTGTGTGTGTGTGTGTGTGTGTGTGTGTGTGTTTCAAAATTCAGAGAGATTTCTACCTTTCTGTCTGTTAACTAAAGAATTTCCATTGTCAGTCATTTAATACTTTGGATGTGCAAAGATAATCCATAGTTGTTATATGCCAACAAGTGGAACCAACTCTTAACTGACCCCCTCCCTTCCCAGCAGGTTTTCAGTGGCTGTAAATGACACAAGAGGAAATTGCCCATCGTTCTCCCTCAAGCAGCCGGTGAATTCCAACTGTGTGCCTTTAAATTGGCACTTGTAGTAGGCCACCAGAGCTCCTTAATCCATAAGTAGGAACATAATTATTTGTTCCAGGAACAATGTTTTGTTCAAGAATTGAAATTCCTGGTTTGGAATTCTTCGGTTTTCCTTCTGGTTTTTGAGAGATTTCTTACCCAAAAGGAAAAAATACAGGTACTTTTTTTTTTTTCCTTAACAGCAAACTGAACTCATTGCCAATGAGTAGGAACTGACTCATAGCTGGCGCTCTGGCAGGTTTTAGAAGCTGTAACTCGCACTAGAGAAGATTGCTCATCTTTATCCATCAGAGAAACGGTGGCTTGGAACTTTGGGTTAGCAGACCAACTGCCTAAGGACTACACCCAGTAGAGTGAGGCGGGTGTTCTGACACCTACCCTCTACAGTGAATGCAGCAGAAAATTGGTGGTTTATATGGATCAACAAGTTCACTAGAAAATTAAGTTGTTATGTGCCGTCAAGTCACTTGCGACTCATAGTGCCCTATATACAACAGCTCTGAACCCTGCTTTATCCTGAGCCAAGCTTACTGTCTCTGACACACCTGCCCCTCTGTCACTGAGTCAGTCCACCTCATCAAGGGTCTTCCTCTCTTGCACTGTATTTCCACCCTCCCAAGTATGATGTCCCTCTCCAAAGATTGTTCTCTCCTTTCCACATGCCTAAAATATGTCCGATGAAGCTTCAGAATCCTTGTCTCCAAGGAGCAGCTTGGTTTCAGCTTCTCTAGGTCAAACGTGTTTGTTCTCCTAGCAGTCCTTGGTATATTCAATTCTCTTCACCACCACAGCTCAAAGACATCAATTCTATCATCCCTAGTCATTGTCCAGCTTTCTGAAGCTTAGCAAGTAATTGCAAAGACTGTGTCTTGGATCAGGCACACCTTGATGTGGTTGCTCTTTAGTACTCTGGAGAGGTCCCTGACAGCAGACTTTCCCAATGTAATTAGTGTTTTGATTTCCTAGCTACTGGTACCAAGAGTATTGATTGTGGAGCCAAGCAAACTGAAGCTGTTAACAATCTCAAGCTCTTCACCAT